GTAGTGCACTATAAAGGGAATAGGGTGCCATTTGGGATGCACACTCAGAGACAGAAGAGGAGGCTGCTCTGCTCCACTGCCAGGATCCATTTGAGTGATTCAGCAGAAAATCAGCCTGATTCTAGGGCATCTGTGAGGGTGTGATTCCCCCATTAAAGGGACAATCTGCAGTTGAAGGAATAACAAAGCAGCACCCCGCAAGTGTTTCCCCCATTAACTCATCATAAGATTCCTGATTGTCTGCTTTTTTCGTCTTCTCTGACACAAACAAGCCATGCACCGGGTCCGTAAAACCAATGATTGGCAATCTCTAGTCTATGGCTCTCCAGAGATTTCCTAAGACCTACTAAAAAATATTGAATCTTCTATTACTGCACCATGTGCACCGTGAACCAGTAATACCTCTATATAGCACTCCAAGCCAGTCCAAGGTGTCAGTCTGTCATTCCCTAAGACCTACTAAAATCCCCTATACCCATTTATAAAACTCTTTCAAGAAACCAAATACTTATTAAGCGAAGAAGAGTTCAAAGTGCTTGGAGAGAGAGAGAGAGAGAGAGGAGAAAGAGAGTGAGAGAGAGGAGAGAGAAAGAGAGAGAGAGAGAGTAGAAAGAGAGAGAGAGAGAGTGCGAGAGAGAGAGAGTAGAAAGAGAGAGAGCGAGAGAGTGAGCGAGAGAGAGAGAGAGAGAGAACAGAAGGGTGAATGAGGACGGACTGGTTGTGTTCAGTTCAGGCATGAGGATGCCTTATTTAGCCTGGCTGGATGGTGAATGATGGTTAAACCAGGGTTGCGTATGCAGGGCACCCTATTCCCTACATAGTGCATTACTTTTGATAGGGTGCCATTTGGGACGTATCCCAGGGTTGCAATGCCAGGTTACTGCAGGTGAGTATGTAACAGAGGAAGGGACGTATGGATGCAGTGCACACTAGATCCCTGATTTTGTGCAAACTGTTGCTAGATCTATTTATTTCCCAAACCTGCTTGCTCTGCAGAGAGTAGCCCTGCTTTTAAGCCTATAGGAAAGATGCTGCATCAATGCGACATAGCAGTAGCAAGTGTCCTGCCCTGCACTGAGTTAGGGCTCCTCCATGTGGATAGAGAAGGTATTGCAGGCAGTCTCTGTCTACATGCTGTTATCCCTATTATACAGTGCATTCGGGAAGTATTCATACACCTTGACCTTTTTTCACATTTTGTTACGTTAAAGCCTTATTCTAAAATTGATTAAATAGTTTTTTCCCCTCATCAATCTACACACAATACCCCATAATGACAAAGCAAAAAGAAATGTTTGCAAATTTATAAAAAATAAAGAACTGAAATATCACATTTACATAAGTATTCAGACCCTTTACTCAGTACTTTGTTGAAGCACCTTTGGCAGCGATTACAGCCTCGCGTCTTCTTGGGTATGACGCTACAAGCTTGGCACACCTGTATTTGGGGAGTTTCTCCCATTCTTCACTGCAGATCCTCTCAAGCTCTGCCAGGTTGGAAGGGGGGCACAGCTATTTTCAGGTCTCTCCAGAGATGTTTGATCGGGTTCAAGTCCGGGCTCTGGCTGGGCCACTCAAGGACATTCAGAGACTTGTCCCGAAGCCACTCCTGCATTGTCTTGGCTGTGTGCTTAGGGTCGTTGTCCTGTTGGAAGGTGAACCTTCGCCTTTGCGCCGTTCATCTTTCCCTCGATCCTGACTAGTCTCCCTGTCCCTGCCGCTGAAAAACATCCCCACAGCATGATGCTGCCACCACCATGCTTCACCGTAGGGATGGTTCCAGGTTTTCTCCAGACGTGACGCTTGGCATTCAGGACAAAGAGTTCAATCATGGTTTCATCAGACCAGAGAATCTTGTTTCTCGTGGTCTGTCCTTTAGGCGCCTTTTGGCAAACTCCAAGCGGGCTGTCATGTGCCATTTACTGAGGAGTGGCTTCCGTCTGTCCACTCTACCATAAAGGCTTGATTGGTGGAGTGCTGTAGAGATGGTTGTCCTTCTGGAATATTCTCCCATATCCACAGTGGAACTCTGGAGCTCTGTCAGAGTGACCATCGGGTTCTTGGTCACCTCCCAGACAAAGGCCTTTCTCCCCTGATTGCTCAGTTTGGCCACGTGGCCAGCTCTAGGAAGAGTCTTGGTGGTTCCAAACTTCTTCCATTTAAGAATGATGGAGGCCACTGTGTTCTTGGGGACCTTCAATGCTGCAGACATTTTTTGATACCCTTCCCCAGATCTGTACCTCGACACACCTGAGCTCAATTTCAAGTCTCATAGCAAAGGGTTTGAATACTGTAAATAAGGTATTTCTGTTTTTTTGTTTTCGCTTTGTCATTATGGGTTATTGTGTGTAGGTTGATGAGGGAAAATGTGTATTTTAATCAATTTTAGAATAAGGCTGTAACGTAACACAATGTGGAAAAAGTCAAGGGGTCTGAATACTTTCCGAATGCACTGTAAATAAATGAAAGGGTGTGAGAGCATGAGGGCTCTGCAAACAGCCAAGTACTGACTACAGCACTTCTCTCTAATTGGGGTGAGACTCAGGATACTTCCAGCCTGGTCCCCAATCTCTTTGTGCTGTTTTGTCAAGTCTTGCCATGTTGGCAAGACAGCATAAACATATCTTGGACCAGGCTGGCTATTGCTGCATTCTGGAAATAAAACAGCTCCAGACCAGAACAATATGTCCACAGAGAGAAAGAACTGTTGCTGTGTGATCTCAGACAGCCATTGCTTTTGATCGATAATGCTGGGGTCTCATTCCAAGCTGAGCAGTCTGTTCAGACACCCTATATGAGGAAAGGCATAGCTACAGGGTTTTGAATAAAATGCAGTTTTTTTATTTATTCTATGTAATAATAACATTAATCATGATCACATAATAACCACAATTCTCTTTTTAGAATCGAATTATGTATGTACAAAAATATCACTATATCAAGCACATAACATCAGACAGACACACTGATGTATTCAGAGAAGACAATTGTCTCAGTCACTGGTTTATAGCAAGATAGGCACACACACACACACAGTCGTTGATGGTGTGACTAAACACATAAACACTGTTTCCTGAGCGAACATCACCTATTCCCTGCAGGGGAGAAATCTGGCCATATACATTTTTACACATAGGATACCTCCCAAATGGCACCCTATTCCCTATATAGTGCACTACTTTTGACTAGAGCCTATGGTCAAAAGTAGTGCACAGCACTACACTCTTTGAAAAAATGGTTCCAAAAGGGTTCTTCGGCTGTCCCCATAGGAGAACCCTTTTTGGTTCCAGGGAGAATCCTTTTTGGTTCCACGTATAACCCTTTTGGGTTCCATGTAGAACCCTCTGTGGAAAGGGTCCTACATGGAACCTAAAAGGGTTCTACCTGGAACCAAAAAGGGTTCTTCAAGGGGTTCTCCTAAGGGGACAGCCAAATAACCATTTTAGGTTCTAGATAGCAGCCTTTTTTCTAAGAGTGTACTTAGGGAATAGGGTGTCATTTGAGACGCACCCACAATCAATGTGCCTCGGCCACTAGCGCTGATGGATATGCCTGTGCTGTATTTATAAGAAGCAGAACTATACATTACACACACACACACACACACACACACACACACACGGCTTGATAAAATGTTTTTATCTTGCTGCTGGGGTTGCCTGCCATACACTGAAGTACTGAAATCACTGGGAACTGAGGCACAATCCCAAATCGACCCCTAAGCACAACGCCCTATGCACTTGTGGTGGAAGTTTCACCATATTACTTATACCAATCAAATCCTCTCAGATCTCTACGAGAGCATAGGGTGTAGGGTTTAGGGTTCATTTGGGATTGGGCCTCAGTCATTTCCACAACCACTAAAAAGATATCAGAAAGGCATATGACGAAAGGTATAATAATGACTTTAATACCAAATAAAACATACAAGACATTACTAAAAGCAGCTTATTGACATATTGAAACAAAGAAAGCAACAACACAAACACAAAGCATTATTATCATTAATCATTCTCCTCTATAGTTACTATTTTATCAATATATTGTCAATACTCTACAGTCCCTATGTCTTAGTGGTAAATATGCGTTTGTTTGTCTATATTCTCCTGACCGCTACATCATCCAGCTCTCTTATCTTTATACAGTTCAGCTAGACAGAATAAAGACAAAAGATATGATGAATATAACAAATTATGAAGTGCCTCAAACAACTGGTTGCCATAAACAACTGGTTGAGATGAATGTAGGCCTATACCCTATAAACATGCAGCTAGAGTGTATGGTACCACATACACCTAAAAAGTACACTTATTCTAAAGGCCTGGTGTTGCCATGCCAATAAAAATACTTTCCAAGACACTTTCTTAAAATAATAAAGGTATGTTATTATGAATTAGCAGCTATTTTGAATGTAATACTGCTGCCTAGCATGTACCTAAATTATGTATGTATATGTGAATTATTCTGATCATATTGGCACACATTTAATAAGATGTCTGTCCATTGAATCTACATACAGATCTACTATGCTACAGCGCAAATAATACGTATTGTGATAGGTTACATCAACATTGAAAATGTGTTGTTTCTTTAACTTAATTGTGTAAAGTGTAAATCGTATTTTATTTCACAAAATCCCTCAGATAAGACAAACCCTCACATAAGAGATGGACATACGTTCTGGGACAATAGACTAGCTGTTGTTGGTTTTGCCCTACATGACATAGTAACGCATGGCTGGCTTATCTAAACTCTAATCTAATTAAATTGTATCTTTAAATAATTAAACCACTGCAATATCAATAGTGATATGTTAGCAAAGAAAATAAAGTGTATGTTGTACAAATTAGCAAACAAAATGGTACAATATTCCATAGAAGGAAGCACAGAGAGACAACTGTCTAGTCCAGGCGTTGTTTGTAGTGGGTAAAAGTAAGTGTCCGGCCATTATGGGTGTGGGGTTGATTACCATGGGGGGGGGCAGCACATCACTACTCCACTCAGTGCAGGGTATTAGTGGGCATGCAGTCACACAGGGCTCGCCTCTCTGCCCTCAACACCAGGGTCTCGGTCTAGGAGGAAATAAAAGCAATGCCATGTTAGGGAGCACTAGCCGGAGTAAACTTTTCAAACTAGGCTAAGACTTTTAGAGGAACTTTACAGGTAGATATACAGCAGGCCAGGGTATAGATGTGGTAAAAAGGTCAATCGAACTCGACCAAAACAATGGAATTGCCATGGAAACATGTGGGGGAAAGATCCTGAATCTCCTCATTGCTGCGCAGCAAAATGTGCCTACATTTAGGTTATTGTTTATGTGTATTTCACCAGGGGCGCAACTTTCACTGGAGACATGTCCCCCCCACATTCTGAAATAGCATTTTTGTCCCCCCCAGTTTTATCATTGGAATGTGATACAAAACAAGGCAACGGTGTGCTTTAGGACCATGCGGACGTCTCCGAGCGGTCGGGTAGGCTGTTTGGAGTGTTTATCTGACTGGATAAAAATTGTATAATAATAATAATAATAATAAGTCCCCCCCCCCACTTCTAAAACCAAAGTTGCGCCCCTGTATTTCACTCTATGTTGGGGTAAAAATCTGAGTATAATGCTTGTATGGATGTCAACCCCAACACATGTTCATGTCATCTTAACCAATCAACTGCATTACAGTTAAAAATGACTGACTACCACCGCCGATTTCTGTACACTAGCTATGCTAACCAGCTTATACGAACGAGAGTTAGCATTTAGCAGTCACTTCTTCTAAACCTGAAAAGGGAAAACCTTTAAATGTTATGCAGTGAAAACTTCCAAATATATCCAAATTGGACTTAAGTAACCACATTGTGGGTCTGTTACAATACATAAATCATGACGGATTTGACGAATATCACTTTGTTAGATCAGATTTGTTGAATGTGCACCAATCTGGTCAATGGAACGGTCTGCGCTCCACTGACCCCTTTACTGCATCTATAGGGAGCAACTCAGTACTATCCCAGCCATAACCAGTGCTTGAAGTGGAATGAAATAGGTGCTGGTACTCATTTTAGGTGCTGGTACTCATTTTAGGTGCTGGTACGCAGTGGGGTAGTAGGGGCATTGCGTATACTCACTTCTTAATCCCCACTTATGCGTATCAAAGTTGTATAGTAAAGGTATACGCTGTATCAATTATGTAGTACAATAGAGAAATCATGCACAAAGTAGCCTACACAATCGCAAAGCATATTCACATGTGCCGGACACAGCCTAGCTTCAACGGAATATCATCTGGCAGCAAGAGCACAACTCTCAACCAGGAGCATCTCACAGGAGAAGAACGACATCGGTAGCCCGTAGCTGGTAGGGCAGGTAGGAAAGATGTTTCAACTTATACCAGTGAATGCTAGTTAAAGCAACAATGGGTAAGCAAACCAGGTATTGAAAAAGTTTGGTCCGAAGTCTTGGTTGAATCTTTGCAATGCGCAATTCAGTCATCATGCGCTGTTTGAAAATGTCTAAAGGCTTTCACAAAAAACCTTCCCAATTAAATGTTGACTGCAAGGTAGTCCTACCTGGTAGAATGATGATGAATTGGGAGGCCATTTGTTTTGCAAACTCTGCCATCACATACACTGTAGGCCTACAGCAACACTGTTAGCCAAAAGGTCTCATGCTAGGTGTACAATTGAATTAAAGGGCAACTAAACCCTCCCCAAATATATATATATATTTTCCCCCCCAGACCTCAAAATGGTATCCTGATGTGGTTTAAACATTGTTGTTTTTCTATTTTTAAAAAGTGTGATTTTGAGAGTGAAAACCTGAAAAAACTATAGGAAAACATATAGTTTTTCACACCTTTGCTTCGCCGGGTGGGCCGTTTTTTGTTGTTGGTCAAATTAGAGTATACCCACTTCTCCAGGCACCACTACACCACTGCTGGTACTCATCATAATATTAGAGCCAAAAGTCTATTCTTTAACAGGTGCCAGTTCTTAATCAATAGAAAATTAGAGATGGACAACTACGGCCCACTTCAAGCACTAAGTGTAACAATTTGTAAATGTAATAGTTATTAAATTGATGTAGTTCTGTCCTTCAGCTGTTCTTCTCTAGTAATGTTCTGTATTATGTCATGTTTCATGTGGACCCAAGGAAGAGTAGATGCTGCTTTCGCAACAGCTAATGGGGATCCTAATAAAATACCAAATACTGTACTATAAGAATAATTACACACTAACATAAAGTGTAACTGAAAAGAAAGGGATAGGAACTGATACCCGGGCATCGAGGTTGAAAGCAGTCTTCTTAAGGTCTTGCAGTGCCCTCTGCATGAATTCAAATGCATGACAGTCCACACAGGGCCGACCTGCAAGACAATGAGACAAAATATAAAAACTGTGTTCATTATGATTCATTATAGGCTACTGCATTTGTGAAAACAAAAACATATTTTAAGACGTTTATATTTACAATCAATACCTACCTGCTGCTACACTTCATCAATGGCTGTTCTCAATTGGTATAACCTATCGATTCGGCAATTAGTCATAATTGATTTTGTTTGGGCCTAGAATTTTTTCTCTTTATACACCTAGACAATAGTCATACGCACTACAGTAACAACCGCTCATTGTGTATAATCGCAAATGCCAGAAAGACAATACAATCTATGAAATAAAACCACTTACTTTCGGCAGGGATTACCGTCCCTGTCTCCTGCTCCGCATCACTTGGCCTAAAACACAGGAGCTGCACGGCTAATAGCAGCATCACCGCTTGCAAATAGCCGCTCGATGCCATACTGATGCTCGGTGCAGGATGTCAAGAGAAAGACCTGGAAAATGGAGAGAGCGAATTTCAGCATATGGTTCTTTATGATATATCATTAATTTGATAAACGAAGCATTGATAGGTTATATGAAAACGATTGTAGGCTACGTTTGCTCGACTAAAGAAAGCAATACAAGCATCCAAAATAACATCACAGATGCAGAGATCTTCTCGTTTTAAATGGGCCAAGTTTTTTTCATAAAGAAAAAGGTCGGAAATATGACCAAGAACTGTATAACATTTAATGTAGCCCTACTCACTGTGTGTGATATTTTAAAGAAAATAAAAACAATGTAGCCAGCCGAAAGACGCCCACCTCAAGACGATTCTGTTGAAAATTAATTCGAAGTGCAGAGGGCGCATGCGTATAAAACCCTTTGAGGTTCGTCACTAGCAACAAAACCAAAATTGCCTCGTAAAAATTAAATTAATTTAAGGTTAAGCATAAGTTTAGCAGTGTGGTTAGGGTTAGGTTTAAAATTAGATTTTCATAAGATAAATTGTAGAAATATGTGGAGTTTATGACTTTGTGGCTGTGCCAACTGTAAATTAGGCAAACGGATTGTCCTTCCACAAATCCCGTATAATGAGGCCTATGCTAAATTATTTTATTTATTTATTCATCCCAAATTGAATGTTGTTCACATGTCTTATAATTTTATCGCAGTCGCTTATTTGCATAACCTTATACAGAAATTGTTGTACAATAAATATTCCTGCACGTACACGGACCATTCATTCCTACATGCTAGTGCACGCTCCAGGTCAATTTTAAGAAAAGGGTTTGTATTATTAGACTTATTTGCAAAATAAGTCAGCATTCCCTTAGAGTCAAACACCCCAAATGCATTGAATAGCAAATAAATGTAATGCTGTTGTAGACATATATCTCAAGTGTTCTGTAAAGTCAATATAAAAGGCCATGTAAAATATTACATTTGTTTTTTTGGACAGGTAAGAGAGAGGTGCGTTCCTTTGATCTCCCCCGACATGAACATGGGGTCCATGCTATCTAGAATCCCTGAGACGACCATACCCCCCCCCCCCCCCCATTGAATTTGACATTTAAAATGGTTTAAGGTCAGGGTAAGGGTTATGGTTAAGGTTTAGGGTAGGGACGTCCCAAGGATCCAACATAGCACTGACCATGAACATGGTGGGTGTGTCCTAACCAACCGTTCTATGTTTTCTTAGCTAGGTAGCCTTTTAAAATGCCCGAACTCAAAACGCTTCTTTTTCCAAGATGGCGTCGATGAAGGATAGCGACACCGGCCTGTGGCTCCATAATAAACTAGGATCAACAGACGAACTTTGGGCGCCTTCTAGTATTGCTTCACTCCTCACCGTTTCAGTTATCGACAATATAAGGTTGTGTTTTTCGAGTTTGTCGCCTCCGGTAAAGCTAAAACTCTTGCTCGGGATGCTGCATCTTCCCAGGCGGACTGTTGATGAGGTGGGTACGCGAGTTGCTATATGACTGACTGAGTACTAGCTAGCCACTGCTACTAGCTAGTTTAAATGGGATTCTGCAGAAAGCAGCCTTGACCAAGTTGTTGGCTGATGCTTCCTGAGCGGGAAGTATAGTACACCATGTTTATAAGCTAACCGTTTCCATTGTACACTTATCTAGCTGCATATGGCTCAGCCTCTTCGCTCCGGGAGACCTGTACCGAAGCGCCAACAGTGTTTAAGTGTCTACAGCCAGGAGGTAGTTAGTTAACTAGTCAGAATGAGTCTAACCGATAACTAGCTAGCTAACTATCGGTTAGGCTCATTCTGTCCAGTCTCATAATTTGTTTACCTAACGCACATGCCTTGCTTTCACAAACACCAAGTTAGCTATCTAGCCTGACATGTAGCATTGAACCTGTTTGTAGTGTAGTCGTGATTTTTTTTCGTCATCTGATATGTCTGAGAATCATTCAAATGCTCAAAACTTCTCGGAGCTTTGTCAGTCCAAGTGGTTTCGCATGCCTGCCAGCCAGCTTGAGCCATTTTGGAGGGCGTAACCAGCGAGTTAAGTCACAACTCAAAACTGGGAGACAGCCTTTAAAATAGTTTTAGCTCCTTTTAAATAGTCTAGTAGCTAAACGTCCTATTAAACTTTGATACAGTCTAGCTCCTTACTTAGCTACAACTGGTGTTGTAAACCAGGTGCACTACAATTTATTGCTTTGTTTACCAATTATATTTCCGTGATTAAGTGATTGAATTAGCTACTTTTATACATTTAGACTTGTCATTTCAATTTCATGACCATAACAAAATCTACATCCTGTCATGTATTATCACTGTCATTAGTCCACAGCTCTTTATTCTCCTAAATTACACAATTCACAGTCTCTGCTGCCTACTGTTCGACCATGTATTGGGGCCTACATCTTTACTATGTCCAACTGTTCAGAAGCCTGATAGCTGCCAGAATGAAACTTGCCCTGCTCCTATTCTTGCTGAACTGTGGGACTCCTTCTGGGGGCAGAAGCTCAAAACATTGGGCAAGATTGTGTGGGGGTCCTCTATGATGTGCTTGGCCTTGTCACTTGCCCGTCTATCATAGAGGCCCTGAAGTCCCCTGCACTGCAGCTTGCAGAACTTGGACCCCAGGTTTACGGTCCTCCTGAGGATGCCCCTGTTAGCTACTGACAGCCCACCATACCAGGCCAGGAAACAGAAAGTCAGCACACACACTATATGGCAGGTGTAGTAGTTTGATGTATTCAATTTCTGTGCCCTGCTCTAACCGCCACATACACCATGCCCCATGGATATTCTATAATCAATTTATTTCTATACCCTGTTCTATACCATTTCTATAAATGGTATTGAACAGACAGCCATGCATACTGTGAGCCATGCATGCATGCAAAGCCTAAAGACACATTACCATTCCACAAGATTGGACGATAACGTTTAAAAAAAATCTTGCTCTACTAACCTCCACAATCACCTCCTTTGACCGTGCAGATGAAGGAGGCCCTATCAGAGATCATCCAGCTGGCCACGGTGGACTCTGAGCCCTGGGTACTGATGGTGGCAGACATCCTTAAGTCCTTCCCAGAGACAGGCTCCCTCAACCTGGACCTGGAGGAGCAGAACCCTAACGTACAGGACATCCTGGGCGAGCTCCGGGAGAAAGGTGGGTACACTACCATAGGCTAGGGGTCATAAGTCAAGGGTAAAATGAGAGCAGCAGGGATCATGGTTCTAGCTTTACAACTGGAATGACTATGATTATGTAAACAGTGCTCAGGGAATTTTTAGTATGGAATAGGATGCATGTTCCAGCATGTTGGTGCTGCTCTAACATCACCTGTTGGTTGGCCATGTATCAGAGTCCTTGTCCTTGTGTACTTTTTCTTCATCACTTGTGAACATGCTTGTGCAGGTACTTGTTGGCTCCACCTGACTGTCTCCATCACACTTCTGCTTTTGCTTGCTCTTTGGGGTCTAGGTTTGAGTTACTGTAAAAACACTGTGTCAACCGCTTATGTAAAAGGCTTTATAAATACATTTGATTGATTGATCTCCCCCTGCAGTGAGTGAGTGTGAAGCGTCGGCCATGCTCCCTCTGGAGTGCCAGTACCTGAACAAGAGCGCCCTGACCACCCTGGTGGGCCCACTCACACCCCCCCGTCAAACACTTCCAGCTCAAGAGGAAGCCCAAGAGCGCCACCCTCAGGGCAGAGCTGCTGCAGAAATGTAAGAAAAGACACTTCACTCGATCCGCCCACCTGGGTACATGTCAATAGTCTAAAGTGGTCTCATCTTCTTCATCTATCAAGCGTCTCAGATTAGGAGTGCTGATCAAGGATCAGGTTCCATGTAATGTTATTCGTTATGATCTAAAAGGCAGAACTGATCCTAGATCACAACTCCTACTCTGAGATGCTTAATGAATATGTCCCTGATCTGAAAAGCAAAGGATAAGTTAAAGCGCTATGGCGGATGCTTATTTGGGAGTTGCTTTCACTTGTCCAGTTGTTTTTCACACATCAGTGCAGATGAAGGAAAGCAGATGAGAAAATGAAGCCACTTTAGACCGTTCAGATGCTCCCAGTGCTTTTTCTGGATCAAAAAGGTGCTTAGGTGGTGAGCGTGGCGGAGGGGTGTGGCACGGTCAGCCCGTCAGGCGTGGCTGAATTCGGTCAAGACCCTGGGCAAGAATGTTTTTGAGGCCCCCATCTTGGCGGCGGAGAGTATTTCAGTGTTTTAAAACCAATTTCTTGCAGGAATTTCTTTCACATTTTGCCATGGAGTGGAGAGAATTTGAGCAGTTAAGCAAATTGAAGTCAAATCTTATGTCACATGCGCCGAATACAACAGGTGTAGACCTTACCGTGAAATGCTTACTTACAAGCCCTTAACCAACAATGCAGTTCAATAAATAGAGTTAAGAAAATATTTAGTAAAAAATTAAATAAAAAGTAACACAATAAAATAACAATAACGAGGCTATATACAGGGGGTACCGGTACAAGAGTCAATGTGCGGGGGTACAGGTTAGTCGCGGTAATTTGTACATGTAGGTAGGGGTAAAGTGACTATGCATAGATAATAAACAGCGAGTAGCAGCATTTGATAAATTTTTCAGCAATCTTATGGCTTGGGGGTAGAAGCTGTTAAGGAGCCTTTTGGACCTAGACTTGGCGCTCTGGTACCGCTTGCTGTGCAGCAGCAGAGAGAACAGTCTATGACTTGGGTGGCTGGAGTCTTTGACAATTTTTTGGGCCTTCATCTGACACCGCCTAGTATATAGGTCCTGAAAATCAAATACAAGTTTATTGATCGTGTTCCTAATGTTTTGTACACTCATTGTACACTGGTGTGTATGGACAGTATATGGATAGAAAAGTAATTTCCAGAGACTGCTCCCTCAACCTGGAAGCTGAGAGAAAATATTGCAGTTTTCAAGTAAATTTCCTGCAATTCTATGCATGTTGCCATGGCTAATGCTGATGTATTGAACATTCATTAATTTGCCCAAGATTATCATAAGACGTGAACAAAATGCATCAGTGATTCATATTTTCCTGTAACTTTCTGAAGAGGCAAAAGCACAGGAATTCCCCTGTCTGTGTGTGCGCGCGTTTGTCGAACACTTTGTGGAGCCGTTAGCGATTATGCTAATGTAATGATGGCTGTCTTCTGGTAGATGGAAAGGCTTTCTCAAAAACCTCAATTAAATGTTAGCGGCAATATGTAACATTTTGGGCGACCTGACTAAATTAAAATATAAATGTGAGTTGTAGATCTATCATTCTACTTGAAAGCAAGTCTAAGAAGCGGTATATCTGTTTTATGTGCGCTATTTCTATGTCTCATATTCTGTTTTTGTTTTTGTGTCTTTTACTTTCAGTTTTGTACACCAGCTTCAAACAGCTGAAACAACAATATTTTTGATTATGGAAAATATATTTCACAGCGGTTTAGATGTTACAATGATTCTCTACACTATACTAGCTTATTTTGTCACCTAAACTGAAATTAGGCGAACTATTAGGTTTTAGAAACCCGGAAATGGCGGAGCGATTTCTGCATAGTGCAACTTTAATTACAAAGTAGCCTATGTCTACCTGGCAGAATGATATCATGATTAGTGGCCTTTTGTTTAGCAAACTCTGCAATCACATGAGCGCTACAGCAACATCGCTAACCAAACAATGGTCTCATGCTGCACTGACATTAAAGGGTAACTACACCCAAAAATCTAGATTTCTTAGATTTTTCCCAGACCTCAAAAGTGGTCTCCTGATGTGGATTAAGCATTGTTGTGGACTTAGAACATCCAATGTTTTTGTTTTTCTATTTAAAAAAGTGTGATTTAGAGAGAACCTGAAACTGGAAGAAAAAAACTGAAACCTGGAAAAACAGGTTGGGGGGGGGGGAATCAGGCAAATAATAAAACCGATTTTATAGGGCCCTACCTTTGTGCTCGTTTACTGAATGTGAATGGTCTTTTTCACATTAGTGAATGGTCATGACTCATGTTCATTACAGCATGCACTGGAAAACGAATATGAACGTTTCTTATTGGACAAGTTCATGTAGTCCCTCCCTGTTTGTCTTCTTCTGTTTGGTGCAAATGAACAGCACCCTCCGGTATTCACTAGGAACCTAATGGAAGCAAACAGGACGAAACTGGGAGGAACTTTACCTAAATTTGTCCAATAGAAAGTCTTATTTTCATGTAAAACATTTTCCATTGCAAAATATTTTTCTACGATGTGCACTAATTAATACAACCTTGACTCATTGTTCTGTTATGTTTTCAGCCACAGAGACAGCTCAACAGCTGAAGAAGGCAGCGGGAGTGCCTTTCCACGCCAAAGGAAGAGGCCTGGTCAAGAAGATTGACACCACCAGTGAGTTTGACACACACACACACACACACACACACACACACAGCTATTACAATACTTGTTGTTGCTAAGACTATGCATATTAACTCTTACACACACATTTATACCCACTGGTGTCTGATTGGCTGCTGCGATATCATGTTTTATACTCTCCCTTCCAGCACCCCTCAAGGGGATCCCCAAAGCCCCGTTCCGCAGCCCCACCACCCCCAGTATATTCAGCCCCCCTAGCAACCGCACACCCATCGCCCCCGCACGGACGCCCCTGCGCAAGGAGAGGGGAGTCAAGGTAACGAAGGGGCCTTTAACAAGTGACCTTGTTTTCTTTAAAGGGATAGTTCACCCAAATAACACAATTATATTGGTTGCCTCATCCTGCAAGCAGGCTATGGACAAGGTAAGACAGCAATCCATGCTTTGGTTTTGTTTTTGGACAGTGGCCATGTAAACAAAACCAAAGCGTGGATTGCTGTCTTACCTCGGCCATAGACTGCTTATACAGTAAGGAAACCAATATAAAAAAAAAAAATGAATTTCACAATAGACAGGAAGCAGGGTTTCCGTTAGGAAAATGTGGTGCTGGACATTTGACCGTTGGCATTTTAATTTACCGGACATTTGAGAAATGTACTGGACCCAAATGCATTGGGTGCGTAAACTGATTAGGGCGTCCACCCACGGTGCTCAGAATAACCGGAATCACATTGCGATTATGGTAATTCATCTTAACAGAATATGCAACTTGAGGATGCAATGACGTGCATCCTTCTTCTCAAATTCCGATGCGCACTTTGAAGATGTTAGAATAACAGTCCACATTGACTTTTCCTCAGCCAACAAGATGAGTAACGAACAGCAAAATCACTAGCTTATGTCAATCTACTATCCCCCATAGTAGAAAATTTTACCTTTTCTATTGGTCAGCTTGTCGTTCTGTGCGAGAAAGAAATAGCCTATTCCAAACAGACTCTGGGACAGTTGTGGGACGATAGATCCCAAATTCATACAACCAGTACAAAAAAACACTTTAAAAAGCAATGAGGCTGATGCAACCGATCAGAACGTTTAGCTTAAAATGTTGATAAACTATTATTTCCTCACATTATAAGCGCAGCAATGTGCGCACGGCAGTAGGCTACGCGCGAATATTCATTTCATAATGCAATTAGTGGGAAAACACAGTTGTCAAAAGCGCACTGCACATGCAAGCGGTTTCATGTGACCGAGATGAAAATATCCGTTATAAGTTTAGGGAGATCTAAAGATGCAACAACTAGCATGGTTTGCCTATATGACGAAGATTGTGCCTTTTGGTTACTGGACAATAAAAATAAAGATGTTTATTTGAAAACCAATAGAACATGAGAGAAATGGGCTACTTGTTTCAATGGCATATGGAAGTCTTTATAAATTAATTGCCTCCACATTTATAGGAACAGATTTTGGTTAGGCTACTTTAAAGCAAGGTAAGAAGTGCCTCATAATATGAAGTAAAACGTTCAGGTTTCACACAATTAAGTAGATGTTTTCAAAATGAATACTGCTTCCAGCTCACATTGCAAAGTGTGACGCGCTGAAGCCTGCCTACCGTTGCCAATGCACTTGACCAGTTGAGAAATAAAAATAGTAGGCTAGCTCTTTTTAATTCTGGTCATCAAAACTGTTTTTAACATGCGATTTCATTTAGAGTTGTTGCGCAATGATTGTGCTTATAAAAGTTTTTCACTCCAGCAGCAACGGGAGCTGTAGCAGCAGCTCTCACCCTGTTTGACAGATTTGAAACTAGACTCTGTATCTGTAAGCTGTGCCTGTACACGTGTGATAGCCTAAATAAGAATCATAATGACCAACGAAAATACACAAGTGCAATTTAATTCCCCAAAAATATGCAAATGAACCCATAGACCGATAAGTATTTCTGGTCAAATGTATTTACATCGACCGGTATTTTCATCGATGAATAGGCAAAAAAACATTATTTAGCAATGGGATTAGTAATTTTTTTTGCAGAATTGCAGCAATTTTTATTTATCGTCTTTCCAAAAAAATAACTGCCAAAAAGCCGGCTATTACCGGCTAACGGAAACCCTGATGGGAAGCTGTATTGAAAGGAATTATGTCATTTTAAATTGATGGTTCAATGTGTTAAGCGAATCTGATGCACATCATTGTCTGTTCTTTAGTTGTTAGACATCTCAGAGCTCGATATGGTGGGAGCTGGTAGAGAGGCAAAGAGGAGGAGAAAGACTTTGGGTAAATGCATTTATTTATAGTTTTGATCTATCTCTATCTAGCTAGCAGTCTTCACTATTATTCACCGTCCTTCAGACTCACTCATTCTTGTTAATCTCTTTCTCTCGTGGTACAGAAACAGAGGCTGGGGAGAAAGCTGCCAAAGAGGAGGCTGTGGTGGAGAATGCTACACCAGACTATGCTGCTGGACTGGTATCTACCCAGGTAGAAAGACACACACTGTCACACAATGTAATGCAATTTACAAAGCGGTATTGCATTGAATTGTAACCCATTCAACGGGTGTTTCAGAAACTGGGTGCGTTAAACAACGAGAGTGCCCTGCCGTCTACGAGTTACCTGCCTGCTACCCCCAGTATGGTCCCCTCCTCCTCCTACATTCCCAGTTCAGAGGCACAGCCAGGTGAGAGACGCAACTTCAAACACCTACATACCTGTTACTCAAATCTCAGGGTTACCCTCCATTTGGTCCTATATGAAGTTGGTTTTGCAATATGGCACGGTAGTATCACAGTGTACTCACTTACTTACTTACTTACTTACTAGTAAGCCTTGGACAATTAAAGCCTTGTCCGAGCCAGAACGGCCTATATGGCAGTAGGCCATCTCCTGTTTCTGTAGCGATTGATAGAGCGATAGTCTCAGATTGATAGAGCGATAGTCTCTTCATTATCCTCCTTTTCTTTCTCTAGCGAATGCGGGCGGTTCAGGGCGTGACGCCCTGCAGTCGGGTCGACAGCCTGAGGAGTCGGCCACACCCAGTGCCGCCGCCACCACCACCCTCCCTGGCCAGTTCAAACAAAGGACGCCCATGTACAACGCCAGCAACACGGCCGCCAGCCCCACCGCCCCCGCCTCCCCCAGCACGCCAGCCAGCACCCCCGCCAGCAGCAACGGCCCCTCGGCTGCCGCCACGCAGCCCGAGACCCCCGCCACACAGCCCCCCACTACCCCCCAGTCCACCACCCCGACTCCCACCCCCACGCCCCAGCCCAAAAAGAACCTCTCGCTCACTGTGAGTTGGATAAAGGCATCTTTGGGACTCTGTTCCAATATTCACGCCACTATACTACTTAGAATGAAGCAATATATTGGGCATGTATTCTAAGATGAACTTGTGTCATGCTTACATTGACTGTAGAGATTGTAGTTCAGTATTTGGAATGGTGGTTTGGCATGCAAAGGTTGTGAGATATGTAGTTGTTTTGTCTTAGTTGAATGCACTGACTGTAAGTAACTCTGTATTAGAGCATCTGCTAAATGTCTAAAATGTAAATGTATGCAGTGTGGTGTAACCTCTGTGCCATGTGTTGTGGTCCCACCAGAGAGACCAGATGTATGCTGCTCAGGAAATGTTCAAGACCGCCAACAAGGTCACCAGACCAGAGAAAGCTCTCATCCTGGGCTTCATGGCCGGATCCAGAGGTACTGGACTGCTTTCTGCAAATACTCCCATTTCCCTAGATGAAGTCCACCTAGCATATGAGTTTTGTACTGTTGGAATAGCACTGTTTTAGTAACAAGTAACAGCTTTTTGCAACAGAGAATAAATATTCCCTCAAGTACAGTGGAGGCTGCTGAGAGGAGGATGGCTCATAGTAATGGCTGGAACGGAGCAAATGGAATGGCATCAAACACATGGAAACCATGTATTTGATACCATTCCACTGATTCCGCTCCAGCCATTACCACCAGCCCGTCCTCCACAATTAAGGCGCAACCGACCTGTGCTGGAGTATGTCCACTTAGTGGCATACTGTATGAGTTTTCAACATACTAGTAATGATTTAGGAATGCGTGGGTGTGAATATGTGCAAGTGCTCTGGTGGAGTCTGAGAGGAACTGGCTACACACACCTTAAAACACTCTTACCCCCACTGCGAGTTCTCCTGCTACTACACACACAAACCACATCTCTTAAATGTTGTATCCCCTCCTCCAGAGAACCCGTGTCCGGAGCAGGGAGACATCATCCAGATCAAGCTAAGCGAGCACACAGAGATCCTGCCCAAGGCGGACGGCACGGGCAGCACCACCATGCTGGTGGACACAGTGTTTGAGATGAACTACTCCACAGGACAGTGGACCCGCCTCAAGAAGTACAAACCCATCACCAACACCTCCTGAGTTGGCTGCCTGCCGGGACTAAACACACACACACATTTACATACACACGCAAGCATCAACACACGCAGGCCAAATCCTCCTCGGGTGGCCAGGGACTTGTCATACTCACACACTTGTGCATACACACATGGGCCAAATCCAGCACGTGAGAGGGGCTGGGGTGGGGGTGGGGGGGGGATGGATATGGGGACGCAGGTTAAGAAGGCATGGATCCCTCTTTCTCAAAGTTCCTTCATTGCCAAAAGGCAGGGACCCTCAAGACTTGTTTCCGTTGGTTCGTTTTTCTTTTCTGTTTTAGTCAGGTCACCTCAGATTTCTGAATGTTTGTGTGCTAGAGGAGTCCGTATACCTTCTTTTTCATAAGACACCAGTCAAGACCTGCTTTACTATGAAAAGGTACAAGCATGCCACAAAAATATTACAACTGTCTGTGTTTTTCATTGTGAGAATGACGTTTACTGTATTCTTCCTACTTTGTCAAAGAAAAAAAAAAAGAGGATGATTTGAGAAAATTAAGTAAATAAAGAGGCCAAACCCATCAGTGAAAATGTGACAGAGAGAGGGATGATGGGTTTCCTTTTTGCTGTCAAGTTCTGTTTTGGAACATTCCGAAGAATGTTTTTCCATCCTTACCAAGAATGAAAAGAAAATAAAGCTCCCGAGTGGCGCAGTGGTCTAAGGCACTGCTTGAGGTGTCACTACAGACTCCCTGGTTCGATTCCAGGCTGTATCACAACCGGCCGTGATCGGGAGTCCCATAGGGCAGCGCACAATTAGCCCAGCGTCGTCCGGGTTTGGCCGGTGTAGGCCGTCATTGTAAATAAGAATTTGTTCTTAACTCACTTGCCTAGTTAAATAAAGGTAAAATAAAAAAATAAAAGCGAAAACATGTTCAGATTCCTGAGTGTTAAACATAGTCCTTCAGAACCTCTCTCTCCTGACTCTACTATTCTATTTCTGAGCACATGACTAAAGGTGTTCTTCGATGGTAAACACTTTGTTTCAAAACGTTTTGCTACGGTGTGCACTAGTGAATACACCCCAGGGTTGGTGTCAATCCCATTTCAGTCAATTCGGGGTATGAATTCCAAATCAAGTATACAAGCAAATGATTAATCAGATGAACTCTTTAAAAGGTCTTTACTAATCGAACCAGAGAAATGCACAAAGACAGGAATCAAGTAATACAGTATTCTCATTCGAAAATACTGGCCTTTAGGATCTGCATTCCTGTCATTTTGCAAAAGATGAACAGATAGACATTGGTAATAAGATCTATTGGAGTGAGTGGGACTTTCATAGTGCAAAAGTCAATCATGGCTGACTAGACATTCATTGTGCCAATAACATTAGCTTTCAGTGCAGAACAGAAGAGCATAACAGAAAAACAAAAGACATTCATTCTTCAGTGAGAGGTGATTGAACCATACATTTACATTGGGATAAGTTCTGAATAGTGTGTACCAGAGATATATATTGAGTGCACAGCTCAGGCTAGAATTTGCCCATAACAAACACACCCCTGTATCAGCAGTTAGGGACATTCTTCCTACTTCATCCCCATAACCACAGATCTAGGATCAGATTATCCTACACCCAATTCTACCATTCCCTATTAAAAATGGCTACGGGCAACCTCCCTCCGAGCCAGCGTGGGGCACGTTCAGCAGGGCACAACGTTTAGATAGAAATATGTTATGTGGTCCTCTGTAGCTCAGCTGGTAGAGCACGGCGCTTGTAACGCCAAGGTAGTGGGTTCGATCCCCGGGACCACCCATACACAAAAATGTATGCACGCATGACTAAGTCGCTTTGGATAAAAGCGTCTGCTAAATGGCATATTATTATTATATAGAACAAACATGCCTCTGACAATGTAAAATAAGGAATCATGTCTGTTCTATTCATGACAGTTCTATCTGCAACGTTTGACCACCTTTGCCTACTGAACCTGGCCTAGTGGTACATAAAGCGTCTTAGAATGGGAGTGCTGATCTAGGATCAGGTCCTCCCTGTTTATGTAATCTTGTTTATTATGATTTAAAAAGGCCAAACTGATCGTAGTAGATCAGCACTCCTACTCTGCAATGCTTTATAGATACAGGCCCAGGTCAGTCGGCTCCAGGGTCTCTCCAGCCTCCGAAGGTCTTCTCCAGGTAGAGGGCCATGGCCAGGGACAGGCGGTCCTGGAGCTTCCCAGTCACCACCTGCACCCCCAGGGGTAGACCCTCTACACTCAGCCCCAGAGGGCACTGGGTCACAGGCAGCCCCAGGATGTTGATGACCCCTGGGGATGGACGGATAGAGGAAGGGATGCAAATGAGAATAAGTATGTTGTATTCATTCATTCAGTTATGTGGTGTACAGACAACTCATTCTCAGTCACATTTGTGACCACAGCCCTAATCATTGAATCAATGCGTGATTTTCCTGAAAGTTTGAATACCTCAAGTTATATTAAGATTTGGTTCATAGTTAGATTTATCTCCATTGATATTATTATTAGATATTGGTTTCCAGACTATCTCTCACCTGTGTAGGCGAAGTTGAAGGGTGTAAAGAGGGGGTGGTGGTGTTTGGGGGCGAGGCGAGGGTGGGTGGGGTACAGGAGAACCCCGTCTGTACCCAACAGCTCCTCAATCTCCTTCTGGAGCTTCTCTTTCTGCTTCACGATGAAGGGAGAGGGCTTGGATGAGCTGGTCATCTCTACCAGGGCCAGACCTGGAACACACATGAACACGCACCAGAGCAACAGAATGACCATGATTCCAGAGATAACACATCAGATTGATGTACAGTCGTGGTCAAAAGTTTTGAGAATGACACAAGTATTGGTCTTCACAAAGTTTGCTGCTTCAGTGTTTTTAGAAATGTTTGTCAGATGTTACTATGGTATACTGAAGTATAATTACATTTAAATTTTTACAAGCATTCCATAAGTGTCAAAGGCTTTTATTGACAATTACATTAAGTTTATGCAAAGTCAATATTTCTTTTTCAAGGCCTCTGCAATCCGCCCTGGCATGCTGTCAATTAACTTCTGGGCCACATCCTGACTGATGGCAGCCCATTCTTGCATAATCTGCTTGGAGTTTGTCAGAATTTGTGGGGTTTTGTTTGTCCACCCGCCTCTTGAGGATTGACCACAAGTTCTCAATGGGATTAAGGTCTGGGGAGTTTCCTGGCCATGGACCCAAAATGTTGATGTTTTGTTCCCCGAGCCTTATGGCAAGGTGCTCCATCATGCTGGAAAATACTCCAGAATGTTATGAAGAGTGATCAGAAGAATTGCAATTAATTTCAAAGTCCCTCTTTGCCATGAAAATGAACTTAATCCCCCAAAAACATTTCCACTGCATTTCAGCCCTGCCACAAAAGGACCAGCTGCCATCATGTCAGTGATTATCTCGTTAACACAGGGGAGTGTTGACGAGGACAAGGATGGAGATCACTCTGTCATGCTGATTGAGATAGAATAACAGACTGGAAGTTTTAAAAGGAGGGTGGTGCTTGAAATCATTGTTCTTCCTCTGTTAACCATGGTTACCTGCAAGGAAACACGTGCCGTCATCATTGCTTTGCACAAAAAGGGCTTCACGGGCAAGGATATTGCTGCTAGTAAGATTGCACCTAAATCAACCATTTATCGGATCATCAAGAACTTCAAGGAGAGAGGTTCAATTGTTGTGAAGAAGGCTTCAGGGCGCCCCAGAAAGTCCAGCAAGCACCAGGACCGTCTCCTAAAGTTGATTCAGGTGCGGGATCGGGGCACCACCAGTGCAGAGCTTGCTCAGTAATGGCAGCAGGCAGGTGTGAGTGCATCTGCACACACAGTGAGGCGAAGACTTTTGGAGGATGGCCTGGTGTCAAGAAGGGCAGCGAGGAAGCCACTTCTCTCCAGGAAAAACATCAGGGACAGACTGATATTCTGCAAAAGGTACAGGGATTGGACTGCTGAGGACTGGGGTAAAGTCAGTTTCTCTGATGAATCCCCTTTCCGATTGTTTGGGCCATCCGGAAAAAAGCTTGTCCGGAGCAGACAAGGTGAGCGCTACCATCAGTCCTGTGTCATGCCAAGGGAGTGGGCTCACTCACAATTTTGCCTTAGAACACAGCCATGAATAAAGAATGGTACCAACACATCCTCCGAGAGCAACTTCTCCCAACCATCCAAGAACAGTTTGGTGACGAACAATGCCTCTTCCAGCATGATGGAGCACATTGCCATAAGGCAAAAGTGATAACTAAGTGGCTCGGGGAACAAAACATCGAAATGTTGGGTCCATGGCCAGGAAACTCCCCAGACCTTAATCCCATTGAGAACTTCTGGTCAATCCTCAAGAGGCGGGTGGACAAACAAAACCCCACAAATTCAGACAAACTCAAAGCATTGATTATGCAAGAATGGGCTGCCATCAGTCAGGATGTGGCCCAGACGTTAATTGACACCATGCCAGGGCGGATTGCAGAGGTCTTGAAAAAGAAGGGTCAACACTGCAAATATTGACTCTTTGCATAAACTTAATGTAATTGTCAATAAAAGCCTTTGACACTTATGGAATGCTTGTAATTATACTTCAGTATACCATAGTAACATCTGACAAAAATATCTAAAAAACACTGAAGCAGCAAACTTTGTGAAGACCATTACTTGTGTCATTCTCAAAACTTTTGACCACGACTGTACAAGTTTAAATAGCTGGCCGCTAGACTAACTTACCAATCTAAAACCATTTTGCTGACATGGGCTAATTGAGTGACTGCTGATGCACATCCACATTTTTTAATTGCACCTTGTGTATTCTATTATTCTAACTCACAACAGTAAGTTGAGACCACGACTGAGTTTTTTTGGGTCAACTTGATCCGCGGGCCTACAAAAGGGGGGCATGGGCTGCCAGTTACCCATCCCTGACCTATATCATCATGACAAGAGTGGACCTTGATACTAAAGATACCAGATAGTAACAGTTGACTCTGAATCAATTGATCAAAGCGCCACTATAGCTCTCTGATTACTAGAATACACCCTTTCTGGGACTATAGATAGGTTTACAAGGTCACTCAGATGACTGGCACCACTTAAACAAATCCCTAGACCCGAAATAACTATTACTAGACAGGATTGTGAATGTGTGTCTCTGTTGTTACCAATAGCAGCCATGGTGTGAGGGGACCTTCCCATCATCCACTTGGCCAGCTCCCACACTGGCCACACCGGCCTCCCTGGTTCCCCCATCAGCACTTGGAAGGGTGTGGGGGGCTGTGAGAAACACATACACACACGTATCCACACTGAACAAAAATATAAACGAAACATGTAAAGTGTTGGTCCCATGTTTCATGAGCTGAAATAAAAGATCCCCTACCTTTATTATTTTGGGTATCTGTGAACAACAGATGCATATCTGTATTCCCAGTCATGTGAAATCCATAGATTAGGGTCTAAGGAATTTATTTCAATTGACTGATTTCCTTATATGAACTTTAACTCAGTAAAATCTTTGAAATTGTTGCGTTAATATTTTTGTTCAGTATAGTTAGAATGGCTGTATTAGTGAGGCCTCATAATACCCCATAAACCTAATGAAGGAGACGCACACACACACAAACCCTATGGGCCATGGTCAAAAGTAGTGCACCATGTAAGGAATAGTGTGCTATTTGGATGCAGCAGCAGTTGACCCACCTTGCCCTCCTTGTCGGGGAGCCCCATGTACGTATCCCAGATCTGGAAGCCATATTTGAGCCCAGAGAGATGCACCTCCTGAACCTTGACCCCTAGGTCAGCCTCCAGCCGCTCCACCACCTGGTAGAAATACAGATATGTCTTTGTGAATCTACATTTGCGCGTGTGTTGTGGGTCTATGAGGCATTCTGCTCACCCTCCTCTGGACTTGAAGGAGTTGTTCGTCTACAGCACTCACTAGAGGAGAGCCACCATCGTGAGGGATAGAGAAGAAACGCAGGTTCCACAGATTCACCTCAATGGACAAAGACAATCTGTACAGAGACATGGAGAGTTAGGACAGTTAAACGTGCTCAAAATGTCATGGTTTTGATGTACGCTAAATTACCTAAAGTATGTGGACACCTGTTCGTCGAACATCTCATTCCAAAATCAGAGGCATTAATATGAAGTTGGTCCCCCCATTGCTGCTCTAACAGCCTCCACTCTTCTGGGAAGGCTTTCCACTAGATGCTGGAACATTGCTGCGGGGACTTGCATTAGGGAGGTCGGGCACTGATGTTGGGCGATTAGGCCTGTCTCGCAGTCGGCTTTCCAATTTATCCCAAAGGTGTTCGATGGGGTTGAGGTCAGGGATCTGTGAAGGCGAGTCAAGTTCTTCCACACAGACCTCGACAAACCATTTCTGTTTGGACCTCGCTTTGTGCACGGGGGCATTGTCATGCTGAAACAGGAAAGGGCCCCAAACTGTTGCCATAAAGTTGGAAGCACAGAATCGTCTAGATTGTCATTGCATGATGTAGCGTTAAGATTTCCCTTCACTGGAACTAAGGGGCCTAGCCCGAACCATGAAAAACAGCCCCAGACCATTATTCCTCCACCAAACTTTACAGTTGGCACTATGCATTGGGGCAGGTAGCGTTCTCCTGGCATCCGCCAAACCCAGATTCGTCTGTCGGACTGCCAGATGGTGAAGCGTGATTCATCACTCCAGAGAACACGTTTCTACTGCTCCAGAGTCCAATGGCGGCGAATTTACACCACTCCAGCCGACGCTTGGCATTGCGCATGGTGATCTTAGACTTGTGTGCGGCTGCTCGGCCATGGAAACCCATTTCATGAAGCTCCCGACGAACATTTATTGTGCTGACGTTGCTTCCAGGGGCAGTTTGGAACTCGGTAGTGAGTGTTGCAACCAAGGACAGACGATTTTTACGCGCTTCAGCACTCGTCGGTCCCTTTCTGTGAGCTTGTGTGGCCTACCACTTTGCGGCTGAGCCGTTGTTGCTCCTAGACATTTCCACTTCACAATAACAGCACTTACAGTTGACCGGGGCAGCTCTAGCGGGGCAGAAATTTGACAAACTGACTTGTTGGAAAGGTGGCATCCCATGACAGTGCCACGTTGAAAGTCACTGAGCTCTTCAGTAAGGCCATTCTACTGCCAATGTTTGTCTATGGAGATTGCATGGCGGTGTGCTCGATTTTATACACCTGTCAGCAACTCATTTGAAGGGATGTCCACATACTTTTGTATATATAGTGTAACTTCACAAAACGTAGTTGTGTGGACATTAAACTTATTTGCATTTTTGTATGTCTATAAAAACTACCCATGTACCATTGGTAGTAAGTTGTTTCTAGTTAGATGTGTTGAAGCCTTTACTGAGAATACAGTGTTGGGTGTTTTAGTCTGTTAAAGGTGTGATGGGTTGTGTACTTGTTGTGTTACTACGAACACTGTGTTGACTGTTCATGTGTGTTAGGGTGGTGGTTGTTGGTGTGTTACAGGGTGTTTTGGTGTGTTATGGATGTAGTTGTGTACTTGTGTGTTTTGGTTGTGATTGGTTGTCATGTGTTAGGGTTGTGATTGGTTGTCATGTGTTAGGGTTGTGATTGGTTGTGTACTTGTGAGCGTTGGGTCCAGCCATGATCCTGAGCATGGGCAGAAGGTCCTCAGCATAGCGACACATGGGGCCAGTACTGAGGTAGTCCTCATGACGACCAGAGGCAGGGGGGTACTGACAATCATTAGATATTACACCTACAAATAACACAGGATAACATGGTCAATGGCACACACACGCACTAGCACCTACATATACACCAACACAAGGGGTACTATTTACTTACCTGGTGTGGTTTTATGGCCAAAAATGCCATTGAAGAAGCACGGCATACGGATACTTCCACCGATGTCAGAACCTATCCCGATCACTGATGCTCCACTCCCAAGTATACTACCCTCTCCACCTGGAGACGACAGGAAAGGAGGAGGGGAGTAGAAAGACTGAGATAGAGAATGTAAGTAAGGCTTGTCCGAGCCAGAAAGGCCCATAGGGGCAGGAGCTTATTTTCTGGTTCTGTAGCGTGAGGTAGCTTGATATAACAAGTAATTAACAAGTAATAGCAGTCCTATTGTTATGGACATCTACCTGTGTTGTCATTACATCAGCACAGCTGTAATACTGTTATAACACATACTATCCCATGTTATTACAATGTTATTACCATTTTATAACACCTTGTAAACCCTAAAATACCACACCTGAGCTGCCGCCTGGTGTCCTCTCCAGGTCATACGGGTTGTTGCAAATGCCGTATAGGTGGTTGTGGGACTCACACCACATGCAGAGCTCGCTTGAGTTGGTGACCCCTAGGGGGATGGCCCCGGCCCTCTTCAACAGGGCCACGGGAGGGGCGTCCCCCACTGAAAGGACCCCACGCCGGGAAACCACGCCTGCGGTGTTAGGCATGCCTGGAGGACAGAGGAAAGGGTGGGGAGAAGATGAACATACAGGTGGAACTGTAAACTAGGAGAGTGCAATGGCTTGGGTCTGTTATGTTTGTGCGCTAAGCTGGCAGATATTACAGATATTCAGGAAAGTATATATTTGAATAGGGACAGATGAACTTCACTGATGCGTATCTAGTGGGAATATCATCAAACAATGTAATGTGTATTTGATGGAAAAGAGGCAGAGGGAAAGTTGTTGATGGATGAGTGCTGTTGTGGTGAGACCATAGGACTATAGGAGAGGGTCTGGGTGTGTGTCTATGTGTGTAGGATTGGTCTACCTATAGCAGTGTGTCCCAATCCTGGTCCGGGAGACCCAAAGCGGTATCCTTTTTTAATTTTGCCCTAGTACTAACAGGCCTGAATCACTAATTAAGGCTTGGTGATGAAGTGATAAGTGGAATCAAGTGTGTTAGTGCTAGGGCTTTGGGTCCCCAGGACCAGGATGGGAAAACACTCACCTATAGGGTAGGTCTACACACTCACCCAGCCTCACTGCAGGGTACACAACTACAAGAGTAGTACACAGTGTGGGAGAGTATGGGAGAGGGTCTAGGTCAGCCATTTTCAAACCTCTCCTCGAGGACCCCCAGACGTTTCACAATTTTGTTGTAGCCCTGAACTAGCTCACCTGATTCACCTAGTCAAGGTCTTGATTAGTTGACAAGTTGAATCAGGTGTGCTAGTTCTGGAATAGTTCAAATAGATGAAACAGCTGGGCGGTCCCAGAGGAGAGGTTTGAAAAAGGCTGGTCTAGGTGAACTATTCCATACTCAAAAATGTATGCACGCATGACTGTAAGTCGCTTTGGATAAAAGCATCTGCTAAATGGCATATTATTATTATTATTATTTATGTGTAGTCCTACCCTGTAGAGCGAAGGCCTCTTTGACAGTGAGGGGGACCCCCAGCAGAGGAAGTCTATCCTCCAGAACATCCTCTCCCCCGGTCTCCTCCTCAATCAGCTTGTCCACCTGAGCTGCCTCTAGCAACGCTGCTGCAAACCTGGAGGGAAAGAAAGAAAGAAATACAAGTTTGGTTTTGTGTCAGAACGTAGTGGAAGTATGGTGAGACAGCAACATGAGATTTGTAAACATATGACAATTAACCAGTCTAGTCCTGGAGGACTTGTACTTGCCTGTCCTGCACCATAGCATTAAGCAGCGGGTTCACCTCCTGAATCCTGTCAATGTAGGCCTGCACCACCTCCACACTCGACACCTGCACCAACCAACATACAGTATAGACAGTAGTGTGCCTGTGTGTGTGCATCAACTCCATTTCAAGTCCAGTCAATTCAGAGTAAACCAATTTCCAATTCAACACTTTTCCTCATTGAAAAGCATTGAAGAGTATTGGAATGTGTGTAGTCCTAAACTTCCTGAATTGACAATTGGAATGGAATTGACCTCAACCCTTTTTAATATGGAGAGCACAGCACTAGGCTACAGTAGCCTAAGAACCAATTTATGCTTGATCTGAAAATGTGGTCTGAGTCGCCATATGGATGGTGTGCCCCTATGCGGAGCCTCCTGAGGCACGCAGAGGCCAAATTGGGCTCTGTACTGCATAGCTGTGCGCCTCTCAAATTTCGTAACAATGTGGAGGGCTCTGTATAGCTCCGCATTGACATTATTGGTTGTATAAACACAAACTCACTTAATTGACAACTTCCTTCACAACAGATCTGCGCTGCTCGACGAAGCACAAAAAGTATGAATGCCCTGACTTCTGAAGAGGCCATATCACCGTAAAAGCTGCACGGCCAATGCAGGCCTCAGATTGACCATGTAGCGCCTTTAGGTAATGGACAGGTGCTGAGTGCAGTCACAGCCCAACTGGACTACTGCTCCCAAAGAGCAACGCAGTAGCCTATCATGCAGCAAATAGGCTACTCACTCTTTACCAAGCCGTTGCAGAACCCTGTCCAAATATGGTGGATAAATGAAGATAGCTCACTCAATACTTTTACCATTGGCTGCACCATATAGGCCTACGCAAATAGACACCACGGAAAAGTAGTCTCTCGGGTAAAATAGATGAGAACATATAACCAGGTACGGGGTAGCCTACGGACCTCTCTCCGACGAATCCTTTGCGCGAGCTGCATCGCAGACATCATTAGCAGGGGGTTGGTGACCGGTTGAAGTTTGGTGAATCCACCGGACAGCCGCGGAGCGAGGAGCCGAAAGAGCGCAAAGAGCACGCCCATGCACGCACTCAGAATCCATGCCTGGGCCCGTTCTAGGCGGGTCAGCGCCATGATCACAGCTTTGGTCACCACCACGGCACTAACTACTTTGACAGCTGGACACTGTCGTCGTCTAACATAACTCCCGGCATGCAACGTTTTGTTATGGTTCTTATCTATAAATGGGTTGGAGTTTAAAAGCATCCGACCTCGCTATCAGTTTAGCGGTAATATCTCGTGGACAGATTCACATGTAAACGGAAAGTGACAACTTTCGCGAGAATTTTACTTCTCGGTATCCGAGATTAGGTCAACCGTGGCTAAATTTTAAACCAATAAGAAATGGCCAAGTGTGTGAACAATCATTGTAAAAGGTTAATGGTTAACTATTTGCCATCGTGCGCTTCGATACGTAGACTGAGAATATAACGCACTGTATTGAATACATTAAATGTAAGGTATCAAGCAAACCACATAAAGCAAATAAATGTACAACGTAGTAGACAACAAATAATTATAGTGACACATCGATCACAAATCACTATTTGTTTAGCATAATCCGCTCTTCTAAACGAGCGTAATCAAGTGTCATTTGTACATTGCACACAGGGTGGCAGTATTGCTATGCGTAAAAACATGATGCGCACTCAGACAAACAGAGCAGATGTCAGTGGATTAGGAAACCATGAAGGCTGCATTTTAACCATCGAAAATGCTTTCCACTATTCCACGTTCCAGAATTTCCCACAATATCTACAGGAATCAAACTGTACTTGCTTTTCTTTTGAATGTGTTACTTGTATGCTTATGCTTATGCTTATATAGGCTATAATTTAGCGGTAATGTGTAGATATAGCCTAATATTCTAATGTCATTTAACATAAAATACAAAAATATGTTAGATGACATTTTTTTCTAATTCCACCTGATATGGGATTGTCTCAGTAGTTTATTGCAAAATCAGAACTGTATGAATGAAACAATGACTGTACAGTTTGAAGGATTTTATTGCAATGATTCAGGGAAAACAAAGTGTATACAATATAAACTTAGTCTTTAATGTCTGCTAACAACCAATATAAAGGAGTTCATCTACTTTATGTATCTTAACTGAAAATATTCAAGTCATATTGATACAGTTGTAATATAATTTTTTTTTTGTAAGAAATCAGGATAAGGACTTAAATTCGCTTGAAAATCTATGGTAAGACTTGAATCTAGCAATGATCATTGCTAGACAGCCATTTTCAAGTCTTGCCATAGATTTTCAAGCGAATTTAAGTCAAAACTTTAACTAGACCACTCAGGAACGTTCAATGTTGTCTTGGTAAGCAACTCCAGTGTATATTTGGCATTGTGTTTTAGGTTATTGTCCTGCTGAAAGGTGAATTTGTCTCCCAGTGTCTGGTGGAAAGCAGACTGAACCAGGTTTTCCTCTAGGATTTTGCCTGTGCTTAGCTCTATTCCATTTATTTTTATCCAAAAAAAACCTCCCTAGTCTTTGCTGATGACAAGCATTACATGAGCAGCCACCACCATGCTTGAAAATATGAAGAGTGGTATTCAGTGATGTGTTGTGTTGGATTTGCCGCAAACATAACGCTTTGTATTTAGGACATAAAGTTAATTTCTTTGCAGTTTTACTTTAGTGCCTGATTGCAAACAGTACAGGCTTCCTTTTCAAATCAAATCTAATTGTGTTTGTCACATGCACCGAATACAACCTTACCATGAAATGCTTACTTTTCAAGCCCTTAACCAACAATGCAGTTTTAAGAAAAATAAGAGTTAAGAAAATATTTACTAAAAAACTAAAGTAAAAAAAAAGTTACAATAACAAGGCTATATACAGGGGGTACCGGTACCGAGTCAATGTGCGGGGTACAGGTTTATTGAGGTAATTGAGGTAATATGTGCATGTAGGTATGGCTAAAGTGACTATGCATAGATAATAAACAGTGAGTAGCAGCATCGTATAAAAAGGGGGGGGGGGGGGTCAATGCAAATAGTCCGGGTAGCCATTTGATTAACTGTTCAGCAGTCTTATGGCTTGGGGGTAGAAGCTGTTATGGAGCCTTTTGGACCCAGACTTGGCGCTCCGCTACCACTTGCCATGCGGTAGCAGAGAGAACAGTCTATGACTGGCTGGAGTTTTTGACAATTTGTAGGGCCTTCCTCTAAAACCGCCTGGTATAGAGGTCCTGGATGGCAGGAACTGGGCCGTACGCACTACCCTCTGTAGCGCCTTGCGGTCAGATGCCGAGCAGTTGCAATACCAGGCGGTGATGCAACTAGTCAGGATGCTCTCGATGGTGCAGAATACCTCATGATAAACTGTGGACAATACTATTTACCAAAAGATTTGAAGTCAGAAGTTTACATGCACCATAGCCAAATACATTTAAACTCAGTTTTTCACAATTCCTGACATTTAATCCTAGTAAAAATTCCCTGTTTTAGGTCAGTTAGGATCACCACTTTATTTTAAGAATGTGAAATGTCAGAATAATAGTAGAGAGAATGATTTATTTCAGATTTTATTTCTTTCATCACATTCCCAGTGGGTCAGAAGTTTACATACACTCAATTAGTATTTGGTAGCATTGCCTTTAAATTGTTTAACTTGGGTCAAACGTTTCGGGTAGCCTTCCACAAGCTTCCCACAATAAGTTGGGTGAATTTTGGCCCATTCCTCCTGGTGTAACTGAGTCAGGTTTGTAGGCCTCCTTGCTCGCACATGCTTTTTCAGTTCTGCCCACACAATTTCTATAGGATTGAGGTCAGGGCTTTTTGATGGCCACTCCAATACCTTGACTTTGTTGTCCTTAAGCCATTTTGCCACAACTTTGGAAGTATGCTTGGGGTCATTGTCCATTTGGAAGACCCATTTGCGACAGCTTTAACTTTCTGACTGATGTTGCTTCAATATATCCACATAATTTTCCTTCCTCATGATGCCATCTATTTTGTGAAGTGCACCAGTCCCTCCTGCAGCAAAGCACCCCCACAGCATGATGCTGCCACCCCCGGTTGGGATCGTGTTCTTCGGCTTGCAAGCCATATCCTTTTTCCTCCAAACATAACGATGGTCATTATGGCCAAACAGTTCTATTTTTGTTTAATCAGACCAGAGGACATTTCTCCAAAAAGTACGATCTTTGTCCCCATGTGCAGTTGCAAACCGTAGTCTGGCTTTTTTACGGCGGTTTTGGAGCAGTGGCTTCTTCCTTGCTGAGCGGCCTTTCAGGTTATGGCGATATAGGACTCGTTTTACTGTGGATATAGATACTTTTGTACCTGTTTCCTCCAGCATCTTCACAAGGTCCTTTGCTGTTGTTCTGGGATTGATTTGCACTTGTTGAGCGGTATGACGTCTGCGTGGTCCCATGGTGTTTATACTTGCGTACTATCAGGTGTTTGGAATTTGCTCCCAAGGATGAAGCAGACTTGTGGAGGTCTACAATTATTTATTTTGATTTTCCCATGATGTCAAGCGAAGAGGCACTGAGTTTGAAGGTAGGCCTTGAAATACATCCACAGGTACACCTCCAATTGACTCAAATGATGTCAATTAGCCTATCAGAAGCTTCTAAAGCCATTACATAATTTTCTGGAATTTTCCAAGCTGTTTAAAGGCACAGTCAACTTAGTGTATGTAAACTTCTGACCCACTAGAATTGTGATACAGTGAATTATAAGTGAAACAATCTGTCTGTAAACAATTGTTGGAAAAACTACTTGTGTCATGCACAAAGTAGATGTCCTCACCGACTTGCCAAATCGATAGTTTGATAACAAGAAATTTGTGGAGTGGTTGAAAAACTGAGTTTTAATGACTCCAACCTAATTGTATGTAAACTTCCAACTTCAACTGTAATATATATATATGAGTAGCCTATAGCATAGACTGAATCAGTAGGCCGTATTGTAATATTTTAAAATAGTTGTAATTGCCCTCTTATAAACTAGCATATAAGGAAAGGTAGAAAAAAAGGTCTGTCCGGGATCCTTGGGACATCCATACCCTAAACCCTAACCTTAACCCCTACCCTAAACCTAACCTTAACCATAACCCTTACCTAACCCTGACCTTAACATTTCAATTTTAAATGTCATTTTAAATTTCAATAGGGTACTGACGTCCCAAGGATCCCAGATAGCAGGGAACAGGAAAAAGATTGTATAAGTCAACATTACCCGGATGCAAGAATCTTTATTGAGTATAGAGGTAGCGATGATCGATCACTCATGGTACAGGAACGGCGGGAATAGGTGTACATGGTGATGCGTCCACCACTGGATCCGAATTGGTAAAATTAATGATTTGAACACACCGACTGCGTCATTGCGCAAAATAGTATGCAGCATCATCTAGATACAGTGGGGGAAAAAAGTATTTAGTCAGCCACCAATTGTGCAAGTTCTCCCACTTAAAAAGATGAGAGAGGCCTGTAATTTTCATCATAGGTACATGTCAACTATGACAGACAAATTGAGCATTTTTTTTCTCCAGAAAATCACATTGTAGGATTTTTTATGAATTTATTTGCAAATTATGGTGGAAAATAAGTATTTGGTCACCTACAAACAAGCGAGATTCTGGCTCTCACAGACCTGTAACTTCTTCTTTAAGAGGCTCCTCTGTCCTCCACTCGTTACCTGTATTAATGGCACCTGTTTGAACTTGTTATCAGTATAAAGGACACCTGTCCACAACCTCAAACAGCCACACTCCAAACTCCACTATGGCCAAGACCAAAGAGCTGTCAAAGGACACCAGAAACAAAATTGTAGACCTGCACCAGGCTGGGAAGACTGAATCTGCAATAGGTGAGCAGCTTGGTTTGAAGAAATTAACTGTGGGAGCAATTATTAGGAAATGGAAGACATACTGATAATCTCCCTCGATCTGGGGCTCCACGCAAGATCTCACCCCGTGGGGTCAAAATGATCACAAGAACGGTGAGCAAAAATCCCAGAACCACACGGGGGGACCTAGTGAATGACCTGCAGAGAGCTGGGACCAAAGTAACAAAGCCTACCATCAGTAACACACTACGCCGCCAGGGACTCAAATCCTGCAGTGCCAGACTTGTCCCCCTGCTTAAGCCAGTACATGTCCAGGCCAGTCTGAAGTTTGCTAGAGTGCATTTGGATGATCCAGAAGAGGATTGGGAGAATGTCATATGGTCAGATGAAACCAAAATATAACTTTTTGGTAAAAACTCAACTCGTCGTGTTTGGAGGACAAAGAATGCTGAGTTGCATCCAAAGAACACCATACCTACTGTGAAGCATGGGGGTGGAAACATCATGCTTTGGGGCTGTTTTTCTGCAAAGGGACCAGGACGACTGATCCGTGTAAAGGAAAGAATGAATGGGGCCATGTATCGTGAGATTTTGAGTGAAAACCTCCTTCCATCAGCAAGGGCATTGAAGATGAAACGTGGCTGGGTCTTTCAGCATGACAATGATCCCAAACACACCGCCCGGGCAACGAAGGAGTGGCTTCGTAAGAAGCATGTCAAGGTCCTGGAGTGGCCTAGCCAGTCTCCAGATCTCAACCCCATAGAAAATATTTGGAGGGAGTTGAAAGTCTGTGTTGCCCAGTGACAGCCCCAAAACATCACTGCTCTAGAGGAGATCTGCATGGAGGAATGGGCCAAAATACCAGCAACAGTGTGTGAAAACCTTGTGAAGACTTACAGAAAACGTTTGACCTGTGTCATTGCCAACAAAGGGTATATACCAAAGTATTGAGAAACTTTTGTTATTGACCAAATACTTATTTTCCACCATAATTTGCAAATAAATTCATTAAAAATCCTACAATGTGATTTTCTGGAGAAAATAAATCTCATTTTGTCTGTCATAGTTGACGTGTACCTATGATGAAAATTACAGGCCTCTCTCATCTTTTTAAGTGGGAGAACTTGCACAATTGGTGGCTGACTAAATAGTTTTTTCCCCCACTGTATGTGTGCAACAAAAGTTCAACATTCACCTTCTGCTACCATTTCTGTCAACACCTTTACGCATACAGTTTGATGCATACGTTCGATTAATCCAATGTATGCACCATACAGAACGCACTGCAACTGCCTCTGCAACGCAATGCTGCAAGGCAAACGCAGCGTTCCATTGGAAATGAATGTACTTCTGGTGTACGAAAACATAATAACACAGTCAGTGTGTTTGAAGCGTTAGTCACCGTTGTGTTAATTAATGAAAGCTTAATTTATCTTTATTTGGGCATAGTAATTACACTACTTAGATGGTGCGCTCCATAATGAAAAACAAATTTTTTGGTTCTTGGATTAAACCCACCACATGGCCAGTGTTGCCAATTTAGCAACTTTGTCGCTATATTTAGCAAGTATTCAGACCCCTCTAGCGACACATTTTCAAAAAATCGACTAGCGACAAATCTAGCGACATTTTCTTGTGTTATTGGAGACCTTTGGAGACTGACATGAAAGCACGTGGGCCCCACCTCCGTCCCAAAGCACTAACAGGCGGCCCAGTCCTCGCGCAGCAGTCCCTCCCAGCTGCAGTCAGAGCAGGAGATGTTCACCCCTCCGCGTCCAGACTGCAAATGAATCGCGCATGCGGGAAGCCGCCGCTGGCTGATCCCGCCCTGGCTTACATTCAGGGACGGATGTAAATGTAAAACATTTTAAAAAACAAGAATCAACAGAAGAAAGTTCATTTGTAGTTTGAAACATATTGAGGGTGTTTTTTACTCACTTTTTGTCTCTCCCACAACGTTATTCCTCTCTCCTACAGCGTCCGTCACAATTACATGCACATGGCCAATTATGCAAATTAGGTGATGACGTCATTTAGCGACTTTTAGGACAGCCAATAGCTACTTTCCTTACTGAGGAGTTGGCAACACTGCACATGGCGCATTAAGAGTACTTCTGGTGTACGAAAACGTAATAACACAGTCAGTGTGATCGAAGCGTTAGTCACCGTTGCGTTAATTAATGAAAGCTTAATTTGTCTTTATTTGGGCATAGTAATTAGGCTACTTAGATGGCCCGCTCCATAATGAAAAACTAATTTTTCGGTTCTTGGATTAAACCCACCACATGGCGCATTGAGAGAAGAGCACCATTCTGGAGTAGGCCCCAGATCCACGTAGCCAACCAGGTAAGAGAAAGCTGCCAAATTTGACCAAAGTGAAAAATATCTGACACATTTTGAACAAGAAACATAATTCCATTCAGGTTTTAACGTGTTTTGGTAAAATAAAATGTTGTGGTTATTGATGCACCAAAAAATTATGAGCTAGGCCTAGGGCCTACAGGCTTTCCCCCCCCATTGGTTAGTTCATATGGTAGCCTAAACTGCCAGGTGAGGTAAGCTTGTAAGCAATTAGAAAATAAGTCATAGGTAGACTCATTTTGAACTAGAAACAAACAATTGTATAGCATAATTGCATTCCTGTTTAATGTGTTTTGGTCAAAGAAAATGAAGTGTATGACGCACTAGAAATGGCCTATAGGATCCACATGCTTTTTTTTTGCTTGCCATTTTATGTCTCAGTAAACACGTGAGTTCACGCACCATGTGCATGTTCACACGACTTGTAAGTTATTTGAAGTAAGAAATATAATTTGGCCTCCTAGGTCTTAGATGTAAGTTGGCTTATGAAGTACGCTAAATTTCACAGTTTCGCTGCCGAGGTGTTAGCGGTCATTTGAAGCCTGGTCTAGGACTAGACCTTTTTGTCAGGGAACCATGAGGCCTATTAGCTCAATATTGGATTATAACCTAGTTTGCAGTTGTATCCTGATGATTTCTTGCATTAGTTTTATCTTCTTAACATTATACGAATTGAAGATTAATTGTGATCTTGTGGAATAAACAGCCTACAATTGTCACAAGTGTGGATAAATATCAGTTTTATTTTTAAAAGCAAGTCGACAGGACAAAATTGCAGGTAGGACTAATGGTAGAATGTAATTCTAGGGCACCAGCATTCAAAGAGTAGTTTATATAATGGGAGGTGATGATACTATAGAATACAAATGATGTGTAGTGTATCTTGTACTTTTCTTCAGCTTTGACAGGAATATACAATTGTGTAGTGCATCTTATAGCCAATTAATATTATATTCTGCAGCTATGATGACACATACAGTAAGAATAAGTAACACATTGACTTAGGCTACATACTTTTATTAGGCATGAATGAGGTTGACTGAGTTTCCTCTTCGTAGTTTATAGTGTTTCACTGTTTTGTTCTCATCCAGCGTTTCCCCTGCAAACAAGTCATCAAACACATATTTTAGAAGTTTTTTTGAAAATTATTATTATAGAAAGACACTTTCCATTTATATCTTAGTATACAATTATTTTACAGCTAAGTTTTTAACTGTGAATTACCTAGCCTATGTAAGATTATCATTACCTTGTTAGACATCGGTAAACAACAAAACAACAACAATCCATATTAAATAAACGTAACTGGCATACTGCTTTAACTCATAAAGGATGTATCAGGTGGATAGATGGATAGCCTACCGTTGTAAACAAGTTTCATTGTGCAGCGTTTCTTTCCTGCCTGTTGACATGCATTTTCCAGCAGAACTGCGATTCTCTCCAGAGGGAACATGTCTATATCCAAGGTCTTTCCCGCACACCTAACAAAGACATTGAACTTGTCCACATCCTCAATGTTGTCATCAGCCTTAATAAAACGTGCACACAGATATTTAATAATCAGAGAAAAACAGGTTATAAACAAAAGTCAGAATATATCATTTTAAAAAGGTTCATATTGTGGCGAATACAGTGTTAGAGTTAAGCCTACTTACACCTAAGGCACTTGGAGATCCCCCCAGGAAATTCCCTGTGTTTGTCTTATCACCTTGTTGTTCTGGTGACCTGGGTGGGGAAAGGGGAAGTTTACTTATAGTGAAAGTGAAAGTTAGACAGAGGTGTTTAGACTTTGGGGCCTAGACTGTAAAGCACTTTGTGGCAACTGCTAATGTAAAAAGGGCTTTGTAAATGAATTTGATTGATTGACTTGACCAAGGAGAGAGAGAGAGAAACTCTAGGCTCACCTGTCTGTGTCCTGATAGGTCTCTGTCTGAGGGACAACTGTGATTTCCTCTGAAGACTGGTGCAAAACAGACTAAGTTAGTTCACTCTAATGAGTGAGAAGTAGTCATATAGGATTGCCCCCTCCCCTTATATTTCCTGATCATGCATCTCTTTTGAAAAGCAACAAATAATGCATTTAAATTTAAATCTTGCATTTGATGGTTTGGTTTGGAGAATGCATATGTTCATGCATGCGGCACCTTGAAATTCTGAAATTGTGGATGTTGTAAAATAGCTTTCAGATTACAGACTAGTTGCCAACAGAAAGGATCTTAGTGAAGAAAAAACATAGTAAGAATAGTAAAATGTAGGTTACTTACCTCTGGGTAGAAATAACTGTAGATTCCGCCCATTTTGTAAATGTAAGAATCTCTGTCTGATATTGCTTATTCTTAGTCTTCTTCTTCAAAGTTGAATGGAGGTACGCTGCCTCTACCCATTTATATAGCTGCTTGAGCCCTTTAGCTCTTTCAGTTCAGTATGCAACTTTCACTTTCTATTGGGAAAGCCTGGTCTAATAGACTAGATGTAACATATTAAAAGTAAATCCGGAACGCTCAAATTAGTATGATATGTTATGTTTGGTATGGTATGGTTACATAAAACCGATGGTTACTTAAAGCAAAAATGAAAGTAGGGTTGCTGGTCGGGCGTATAACGCAAATGTCTAGCAACCCAAAGGTTGCGAGTTCAAATCTCGTCATGGAAAACTAGCATTTTAGCTAATTAGCAACTTTTCAACTACTTACTACTTTTTAGCTACTTTGCAACTACTTAGCATGTTAGCTAACCCTTCCCCTAACCTTAACCCTTTTAGCGAACCCTTCACCTAAACTTAACCATTTAACCTAAATCCTAAACATAACCCTAACCCCTAGCCTAGTTAACGTTAGCCAGCTAGCTAATGTTAGCCAGCTAGCTAGAATTCATAACATATCATACGTTTTGCAAAATGTTGAACATATTGTAAGTTTTTCAAAGTTGTAACATATTGTACGGTTTTCAAATTCAAACATATACAATTAATTGCAATTTGTAACATATCATACGAAATGAGTGATAGACATTGACAAATTAATTAATACCATACGAAACGTAACATATCATAATAAATGGAGTGTCTCGGATTTACCTACAGAATAATACAAAATGCTCTGAGACCAGATTGATTGGGAGATTCCCCTGATATTCCCTGTGATCTTTACCAGGGACTTTTTTTGTTGGATACAAGAAGTTAACAGTCCTTGCTTGTTGGCTACAATTGGTTGTTTACTGTATACATGACTGTATCAATGACTACCCACTTAAATCAGTCGATCAAGCAATGATCACAGAAAAACAAAACAAGCTAGTCAAACAAAATATAGCTAGGTTTAGTCTCACATGGCCGTCCTTCCAAATCCCGTCTCTTTGACTCGTGTTATTACTGCTTGCTAAGTATAACCCTAACCCTCACTTCATGTCCACATCCCTGTTCAACCCTAACTCCATCCTCAACCACAGAATAAAAAGCGGTGTGTGCAGTCTTTTCTTCCAACCTATAACTGACACCTTTTCAAATAATTAACTTAATCATGGTCTTCAAAGTTTGACTATGGGAAGTCTTAATTAGGTGAGCTAGCGCTGCGCAATAACAAAAGTCGATACCTGCACACACACCACGACCCTTTAGGAATGGTGTAATACAGGTAGAAAGAAATGAAAGACATCATACCCAGCCATCACCATGTCTTGTGACATCTTGAGACGTCTTAATACATATAAATGAAGACGTCTTGAGGCATATAGAGACCTGTCTTATGACCTGTCTTAGAAAATGAAGAGATCTTTAAGACAGTCCATAGAAATAACAATGTCTTGAGACATCCGTATTATGACGTTTCTAGACATTTTATAATTTGTTGTTTTCATGTTTTATTAGTTATAAATACTAATCACTCACTTTAGAACACTTATGCACATCCATAGCACAAATTGTATAAATCAAAGTAATCAAGATCTATTGCCCAAAATAACAATTTCAGATGCAACAAAATAACTTTTGGTAAAGGCAGTATAGAGCTCCAAATAAGTATTTACAGCCAGATAGTCATCTCTTGTTTGGGGATCTCAGATATCAGAGCTGCTCTTCCTTAATCTACAGGAAAATAAACTGTCATTAGTTATCATATCATAAATACAGCAACATCAGTAACAATACCACCTCTACCCGGCTATTTTCTTGTACCTTAATTATGAATAGCTCACCTGAAGCAGAAAGCCCTACCATCCATGAGGGCTTACTGTTTGACACCAGGTAGGACCCCAGCTTTATTCCAGTCTGAAAATAGGACGAATCAGTTAAGCACTGTCTGTTCTCATGGGAAGAAATGAACATTGCATGTGTCATGTTCCTTTTTGCAATGCAGTGTTCTCACTTGTATTTGCTGGGCGACAGCTGGCCTTGATTGAGTTGAGTTTATGACATGTCTTCCATCCTTGTATCCTGACAAGAGAAATAGGCCTTGTTCATCACACAATAACTATCAAAGCACATGTGAAAACAAAAAGCAGATACAAGCCTCCAGTCATAACTTACCTCATCAGCCTATCCATGCATAGAGGTCAGCACTCAGATAAGTCCAGTATAGGGTCTAAAAGTTAGGGGTTCAACAAGGGTTCTTCTAAGATCCTCAAAGTTCTTTGAAGAACCTTAGGGTTCTTGGCACTGAAATTGCCCCCAAAAGGTTAGTCCAAGAACCCCATAGGAGGTGGGGTTCATCGAGGAACCTCCTTAGTTGGTGGGGGTTCTTGCAGGAACCTATCTGCCCAACTGAAACATTTGAATTTGAAAGGACAGCAGGTGCATGCACTTAACTGAAAAATGTAAAGATCTCCTCAATTTAAGGTAAGGTTTGTCCCTTGTATGATCTAAATTGATATTGTTTTATGATGATACCATCTATCTTTTCATATATATGCAAATCTTTCTAAAACAGAAAATTGACAATTCAATGGATATTTTTTAAATTTAAACCTGGCAAGTCAGTTAAAAACAAATTCTTATTTACAATGACGGCCTACACCGGCCAAACCCTGACGACGCTGGGCCAATTGTGCGCAGCCCTATGGGACTCCCAATCACGGCCGGTTGTGATACAGCCTGGAATCGAACCAGGGGGTCTATAGTGACGCCTCAAGCACTGAGATGCAGTGCCTTAGACCGCTGCGCCACTCGGGAGCCCATATCAAATCAACAAAGAGGTAAGATTATGTAGGCTATAAGAATATGTTGAAGGCTAGCTGTATTGGGTGCAGATGACTGAACTGCTCACTTTTGTGTCTGTGTCTGCAGGTTTACAGATGAGGAGGCATACAAAGGTATCTCAATTGGTATTGGTATGTTATGCAGATCACATGTACAATCCTCTTCCCTTACCTCTTCAAGAAAAATCCCATAGGCCTCTACATTATGGACAAGGAATGTGTATGAAAACCATTATCAAAATAGTTTTATTCATCCACATTTACCACAAAAACCAAGGTATGAATACTGTCATGTGCATGTTTTGTTAATCATCTGTATAATTACTATTGTTTGGATTCACAGACTTCACCCTCCCTAAACCTCTGATGAATATACAGGCCCGGCGGCAGGATTAACTCAGCAAGGGGGCATCAGAAATGACTAAGGGGGCACAACTATTTTCGCATGCTGATAACACAGGATGGATAATAATCGATAGTACAATTACACACAATGTATTTGCAGCCACGCACGGCTGTCTTGCAGCAAGAATACAGGCTACTGCACTGCTTTACAAACATGGACAATTCATAAATAGCAAGTTATGACAACGCTACACAGCTACATGCACAATACCCATTAATCCAATGCGAAACAGTTGCTAATTACCGTAATAACACTTCCTCATGCCAATACAATGCATTTCCAATCGCGAAAAACAAACAGTAATGTACAATGCACTACCAGGACTTATCGGTACTATGCAGCTTGGACGCAGCTACCAAGCCGTCTTCCCACAAGAGTGCCTTACTACGCTGCGTATGATAACAGAGAAATTAGTATTCCATTGCAACGAGTTGTTTATGGCAACACTCTAGCTACATCATTCCTCAACCATTGGTCAAGGTCTGCTCACCCTAATCAATGTAATGCAAAGCACCTCTTCTACATTATAAAACATAAAGAAAAACAATCCGATTATATTATAAACCAAACATTTCCAATCCAATCACATCACAGAAATCAAGCAGTAGACTTGGCAGGAACGCCAACAAAGAAAATCACCTCTACGCCTATTTCTGACGTTTGCCACGCATTTCCAAAAGCTAGCAAATAACAAAATAATACAAGGCCAACCAGGCTGCCTGTTCTTACCCAGATTCAAAAGAGTTGTAGCCTCCTTGATGCTGTGTTGAACCTCCTCAGCAGTCTCTCGTTCCACTCCCCACGGAATTTGCTTGTAAGATCCCTCTCAAATGCCAGTTTAATCAGTTGCGCTTTCCTCCTGTGCAACATGCTCCGTCTGTGCTCACTGAACACGTTTTTCAATGTTGAAAAAGAGTTCTCGCAAATTGCCGTGGATGCTCCAAATGATAAACCCAGCTTCAATGCCATCATCACAGTAGACATTGCTGTTAGAGGCACGGAGTATCTATCCAAAATGCTCTGCGTTGTCCATTTTTATTCTCCATATCGGGCGATTTCTGTCTGTAGACTGGCGTGCAACAGTAAACTCAATTTTCACAAAATCTCCTGAGATTAAGTCCAGCAGTG